TCCAGTCATCACCATCCCATGGGGCACCTTAACCTTTGCTATGACATTTTCTTTGGGCCATCATGTTATCTATTCAGACTGGAGCAAGATACTGTATAGGGAGAGCTTCATATTAAAGTTACATGAACCCCATGAATCTGGAAGGAGTATTTTGCCAATATCATCCTAGTTAGTGCTTTCCTGACTTACCAGTTACCACATTCTAAACAGAATGTTGAATTCCCTTCGCATCCATATTCCATGATCTCATAGAACCAATGCAATAATTGAACAGGCCAGCAGCAACCAGTGAAAGTAACATGTCCCCTCTGCGCTCTAAAAACCTCTTAGGTAATAACAAATATTCCCCTCAAGATCTACAGCTGCACAGTCACCTAATCATTCTGTGTAAGTTGCCCTTCATATTTATTGTCTATTAACTCCTGAGACCCTGCCCGCAGGCTTGATTTCAAGGCTGTTTCACCCTACTCTACAAAGTCGAGCGAGCAGATTAACTTGGTCGGGCTTGTTTGGATTAACTTTTATTTTAGTGGGATTGACTTTGTCCAGACAGGAGTCCATAAAATGTGTGCATTTGACAGATGAAAAAAAAACAGCATGAAAACCTGGGGCACACTTCACCAGGATACTAGTACTGAGTACATGTACTCCTAACAGGTCCCACATGACAGGTAACAGAAAAAAGGATCTGTTAGACCCTTCTTCACCTTCAGCTCTCTAACTTCACACTGGTAAATTATTACTGGCACACTGGTTAAATTATACTGTGGCTTTGCATTTGATGTTATCAGCCAGACACCTTTATCCCCACTTTTCATGAGAAATTTACAATGTCGTGCATTCTGGCTCTAAAATCAATATCTGACCTTGCATGATTAAAAGCCAGAATGCTGGTGCCAACTTAAGCAATATGCACAGGAGTGACTATCAGAAAAGCAAGCAAGTCTTGACCCTTTCGTGCTCATTACCATATCAGCTACATGGCATATACCACTACAGTCCCTTACAGGCTAGAATTGAAAAACCCAAAGAAAACATTATCCAGAACAACAAATACGATATGCAACTTGCCAAAATTTCATCCTGACATGTCACGACTGCAGAACAGAACCAGAGAAGTTGTTTGTTATGATGTAACAGGACACCAAACACAGAGGAATTCCTAATCCAGGATGTTTCACAGGACAACAGATAACATCAGTGTCCCACCATCTGGGACAGCGTTCCTCCTCAGGCTCTTCAACTTCCAACAACAAACATGAACAAAGCTGCTGATAATGCTCAAAATAGTTCAACAATGAACTAGCTACAAAGAAGCCTGACCTTTTGTCCAAAGAGACAGATGGCATGTATTGTGTAATTTAGGGTTGGAAAGGTACCAGATGATTCACAAGACAATCTTATCAGTGTCCTGTCAGACCTTGCATCTTCCCAGGAATGTCCTGTATGTGGTGAATGGCACAGAGTTGGTCCTACTGCACCTCTCCCAGGGCATACATAGAGCCCACCTCCGGAAACATTTCATATTGAGTCCCCAGCAAACATGTTTGGAATCTGATCAGCCCTCTGCGGGGTACCTTCAAACCAAACCTGGGCCAGCCTGTCTCAACATAGACAGTGTCAAATATATTTTTTAAAAATTATTATACTGGACGTGTATGTATGTACAGAAGTCACTTATGCTAAAAGCAGTAACAAAATAGTACTGATGGAACAAGTATCCATATCTGACAAGTTTAGGTCAAAGAATGACCTGGAATGGGACAGCAATGTCCCAAAACATTTCACCAGAACTGTTGGGAACAAATGCTGCTCAGTAACACAGTACTCCCCCCCAAAATACTCCCCCACTCCTCCTTCTTAAAGTCAGGACCTTTTAGAAAAAGGTTTTATCATTAACCCACACCATGCATATTTGTTTTCTCCCTCACCATTTCCTTCTTTCCGCCTGCACCCACATATATGGATGCAGCAGCATCTGTGATAAATATCCACCTGTTTCTAGGGCCTTCTATAGATATACCCATAAATGAGCTATCATAAATGGAGTACAAAGAACTGGAAAAAAGGAATCAAAATATTGAAGAATGTAAACACAACTGCACTGCCCTGTCTGTTTCCTTCCCAGGGGAAGCTGAGATATTTCTCCACAAAATTCTGATGCTGTCTTGCACTTGAATGCAATTCCTTTGCAATGGTGTGGCACTTTGCTTAAAATCCCACGTGAATATTTAAAATTTCACCATTAAATAAAATGTCCAGAAGTCAAAATAAAAAACACTGGCCTAACTCACATAGTGCTTTATGTTTCTTTCTAATGTGTTGCTGATGTTATTGTTGGGCTTATATCTATGACTCCAGACATAATAACTATCACCTGTCAGCTTCTTATTACTTCCTATAAAATATATTGCCATAAAAACTACCGGTGACATGATATCAAAGAAAGGTTGCACAGAGACCTGCGTAAACAGATTACATTGCTGCACAGGTTCCATTTACTGAAAAGGCAACAGTTGGGCCATAATCATGACCTATAGAAGTAAGTGGGAGTTCTGGGACATTAACTTGATCAGTGAGTCTCTCCAATCAGACTTGGGAACAGGCAGACCCATTAGGGCTCCCCTGAGGGTGACATTTTCGGAAATGAAAAGGGAGAAGGAGCACATTTACACTGAACGTCAATCAAAGGAAGCATTATTGTATAATGACATAGGGATGAGTCATGACTTCATGATCATGTTGGTGGAACAATATGCATGAACTGGTAGCTCTTCATGTTAGCTGAAGCATGACTATTTCTGCCATAAATCATCATCTTGGTATTGATACATCAGCAGCAACTGTACACTTGCTGGGACAGTGATGACAGACGAATATTGATCATGCATCTCTTGTTGGACAGAACAATCTGTAACTGTCATCCATCATCTTCAACATTACATGCAGTATCTCTGGGGACTGTGTCTGATCACGGGCAAGATTTTCCTTAAGTTTATAGTCCTAGGGTCAAGAGCAGCCTTTGTGGGAGACATTCTAAACAGTCAGTGCTACACAACATTTTGGACCCTTTCAGTAATCTTAGAAAATATATTAGCACCTTACTAGCCCAACCTCTTGTGATGATGTTTTATAATAAATATATAAAACATCAGGTTATACTTATTTAGCTCCCATGCATTTTATTCAAACAAATGCCTAATTTACATAATCTACATAGTGGTTCATTTCTAAAGCAACAGTTCCTCCATATTTTTTTAATCAACATAAACACCAAAGCAGGGATAATATAGAGATCAGTACTGCAGCCCTGGAAGCTATTGGGTGAGATATATAAGCACCAACAGTAAATTATCATTATCATGAGGAAGTGCCATCAAGCATTGTATTACTGAAGACACTGAAGTGAATGTATAGACAGTCTCCTTAGTGAGTGAAAGATTCCTGACATGAAGCAAACATGAAATAAACTAATGCTACTGATAGAGTTGCATCTACAGTTTTGCAACAACTTTTTCAAATTGCTATTCTTATGAGATAATTTGCTGAGAAATTTCAGGTCATTGGTACTGACTGACAGACGCTTTTTATAACTACATCAAAATCCAGTATGTAACTTTCCTCCCAGAGGAGGGACATGAATACCTTAACAGATTACATGGAACATTATCTATGTCATGGGAGACAGTGATTTATGGATGTGAACTGATATCAATTTGGAGACTAGGGTAGCCAGTCACTCAGAAGGATCCCTGTTGCAGATAGAGACATGTTTACCACCACAGAATACTCAGATAGATTCCTGAGTCTGTACATTCTAAGTCTGTACATAAAGGCCACAACTTGGATCACTCTTGGGAAAGACCTTGAAGTCCTTGAATACAAGGGGAAGACTGATGTAATGGGGTATCTTTTTTAACATGGAAACTTTAAGATCATCGGGTGTACTACCGTGTAGCAAAAATGTATGTATGAAGCAGACAAAGTTGCCCATCCCTTGGTCTGGCCCATACATATTTGTATCGCCTACACTTAGAATGTTAAGAATTTTTAGAATGAAAAGCACCCCTAGCAATTTAATGAGGGAATGACTTGAGCTCTGTTCAATTATGTTCTCCCAAGGCATGCACTAATAGTGAATGGGAGGGGACCTGTAAGAGAGAATATTCAATATCCCACTGTGGTAATGCTACGGTACCTGAATGAATACCTAACATTAGACAAATTCTAGGTTCAACCCAGAGGACAACAGAATGGTGGTACAGTGCACAGACTCCTGCTGTGACATGGCTACAGGCTGGACTGAGCCCACAGATGATGAGGCCAGATGCACATCTCCATCTGTCATCCATAGATAGCAAGTGAGTTGATCTGTATGCATAACAACCCCACCTGGCTAACCCTACCATAGTCAGCATCAGCCTTAGCAGAAGTCCAGCCAACTTTAGCAGGCTCTCAAATGGTAATCCAGCTCTTAACCTGCACATCCCAGCTGCTACCAGAATAAATTTGCTCCTTCAATCTGCTGTAATTTGCACTGGGGAAAAGGGCATTGTCCACCAGGGTGGACATGTTTAGAATGTGATTAGCCTTTATAGTCTGTGAGCAAATACTCGCAGTGAATAGTGGACACAAAGCCTATTGATATGTCAAACAAAAAACTGAATCTCTGTGACCACATTTTGTCCTCATATACCATCATTTCATAACAACTACATTTTTGTACAATTATAGATGTAATAACAGTGTACTGGACATTAGTACGGATAGTTTTACCTGGCTTATGCGATTGAACCCATACTGCTTGAATCTCTCATCATAGAGGGGTACTGACCACCGACCAATGTAGAAAGGCTCCCAAGGATCCTTCCAAGTCACGTTGTACGCAACATCCAGCCTCCTTTTAGTGGATGACTTACTTGTTGTCCATTTATCATAGTCAGTGGAACTCTGACACTTCCAACAAATGTCTCGATAAAATGGCCTAGCCTTGCCGGGCTGCAGGCTTTCCAACAGGTCTGTCTTGTCTTTTGGAATAGATGCATTCAGTTGGAGTTCAAAAGCTGGCACCACATACACCGTGTCCAGGTGATCTGAGACCATGCTTGTTCTGGAGTCAAATAATCTGTTGTCCAGTGCAAAGTGCACAAAGTCAGTCCTTAGTTTTTCACTGGGGAGCATGTCGATGTCTACCACAAATATGAATTCTGTGGACGATCCCTGTCGAGCAACATTCCGCAACAGATTGTTTGGATATGGCTCCTTCTCTGCGCCATAGTTCAGCGTTGCTGACTTGTGGTATTTGGCAAGATGTAGGATGTCTTGGCAAGGTGTGTTGAGTAAGGTAGGGGACTCCTCATAGATGATGGCCTCTCTGGACGTTGGATAAACCAAGTGGAATGAAACATACTTGCGAATAAGTGGATAACAGCGTCTTAGTCCTCCAACAATGTCATCTGCAAATGCTGCATTCTCACCAGGCGCAAAGATGGCTACAGAGACGGGCCCGTCCCATCTCACACTCAGCTCCACAATGTGGTAAAGATTCTGCACTGAACACTGAGTTACCAAGGTAACATCCTCCAACTGCACCTCCCCATTAGCTGCATCATCACTGCGGATGTAGAAGTTGTGGATCCTGTACTGCCCGCTGACGTCTAGGCTGCCCTTGGACAGCTTGGCGCTACTCTTCCGAAGGTTTCCCTTGCTTGTGCTGCTGCTGCCGGCTAGCCTCCTCCCTTCCCGCGGGCTGAACCTCTCCCCATCCTCGGCTTGGATGGAGGAGGCGGACCGACCGCGGTCCCGATCCAACCTGGACAGGAGCGTGATGTGCACGACCTGCAGCACGACGATCAGCCCCACCAGGAAGATGATGAACTTGTTAATCATCGAGCAGCTCATCCTAACACTGTGGACGCCATCACATGCAGGAACACCTCCACATAGCTCACCCTCCGAGCGACAAAAGCACTCTACGGGAGTGTGTCTTCGGCGCGTCTCATTCTCCTCCCTGACGAATCTCTCCGTGTTTTGCTGCTGATCTCGCGAAATCTCGTGACCTGACCCCAGCGCCGCGCGTGGGACGAGAGTTCGTTGACCCGAAGACGCGACCCCTTCGACCGAACCAGAAAGGAGAGCCACCATGCGATTACTTCCGTCAGATACTTTGTATTTGGATACCGTTGATGTGTAACCCGCTAAACGTTCCAAGAATACTGTATATACGAGGTAAGTAGCAGTTACGCCGCACAGTACTGTCCATATCCATGATTGCATCAATTACTTTAATCGGTAGATGTCGCTTGTGAGCGGGGAGTGTTGATTTCAGTGATGACAGCATCAACACGCTGTATTGAAACAAATGAAGTTTGATATCACAACGACTGAACCGTTGTGAAAATTGATAATATTTCAACCAAATCCTTATCCCTTTTTTTTGTGATGTAGTTGTGTAACCATTTACCAGCAGAGTAACGTTGCTCACAGAATCCCGACAAATATCCAATAACCTCTTGGCGTTTTTATTGCCACAGGGACGTTCCATGTTCAACAAATGATCTGACAACTTGGTGGTTTGTGACTCGAGTTGTTTGATAATTTTCCATTCAAAATTTTCCTTTCACACATCTTACGAGGGTGTTGTTATCATTCTTAAGTTTAGCGGGACAGAGCAACGGTTTACCCCTTCACCACTTGTACCTGAGATAGCAATTGTCAGACGTCAACTCATCATCATTTTTCACCACTCAAAAATCCGGTAGGTCGAAAAAGCGCATATTCATTAATTGGCCTGATTGGAATTACAGGATTTAATGCCAATTGATAACGATTTGGGGTGTATCAGAATATCCAGCCAACTTTTGAAGAAGGATGTCCAAGCTGGAAACATTCAAGTTGCCGGACCAGGACACTCGGCTCATCAGGTGCAACAACACAGTCTACAAGTTCAAGCTGCAGTATAGGGATGGGTAAGCGTGCATACAGTAACATAACTGTTGTAAACTTTGTAACAGCTACATTGTTTTAGTACAACCGAGTCTGCTTATTATAAATGTGGGTTCAGCATGGATGTCCTTCAGTAACTTCAGTACAGTACATCGAGCAAAATGTTCCCATATATATATATGAATGAAGCATACAGTTAAAGTTTGAACGAAGTATGAAAAAGCCATTATTTTTACTCCAGGGTTTGAATTCATGAGAATGATAGACAGATAGATGTAATGCAGAATTACTTCCTTGTTCTCTACAAATCTCAGGTCCAACAGACTTCCCTGTGATGTTGCCACCATGCAGCAGGAGATGGAGGTAAACAGTTTAGTCGGTCAATTCTAGCATACATTACACAATTACAGCAGTTTATCTGAAATATGAAAAATCACTGAAGACTAAGTTATCAACATAGAGTATGGTGTCTCCATATTTTCAGTAATTTGTAAATTCTAATTGAACATTTAAAGCACTTTCTTGTACAGTCAGATTATTTTCACCTGCATGCAGTGTTAAAATGTTATGCCTTGTTTTTTCAGCATGTGGTCCGTTGTCTTTTACAAATCAAGGAAAGCTTACATCCTGTTCGTACCGACCACTTCGTCATCTATCCATGTATCCTTTTTCTACCGCAAAATCATTTCCAAACTAGAATACGAGGATATTAAATAGGTCCCTACTGTAGTATCAACGCCTTAACTTAAGTACAGACAAAAGGCCCTGGGGGACAGCAAGAAAGCTTAAGTTCTACCAAGGTCAGAGAGAGCTACAGGCCTACCCATATGTGCTGTATGTGTATGTAGAACCTACATGTAAGATAGCCCAGGTACAGAGGTCTTCACCAGACCCAATATGTCCAGCCGTGGATGATGATATTCATGGAACAAGTGCTGTTGCTGATGATGACAAGCTTGAGGGAGTTGATGAGGGGAGTGAGACACACAAGGTAGGCTGATACCCTTTAACATGTTTACTTTTACTCTGCATGCTAGTTCCTGTTTTTCCTAAAGACTGCTTGAATTTGATTGGTACAATGAACAAGCCAAAAAGTCCTGCTAACTTGTTATTTGCAGAGAGATAAACCTAGGCTGACCCAGGCTAACATCAATGAAGTTTTGAACACAGAATATGGACACCTCTTCATACCACCTCCCCCAAAGAAGGTCAAAAGGTGTGTCATATCATCTGTCATTCAGAGTGCAATTATATTTCTCTTGATTTTGTGGTAAATGGTAACTCATGATATAAAGCCAGCATAAAATGCCTTTCTTCCATTGTTGAATAGCAATTTTACTCCTTGAATTGCCTTTGTTCTGTGCTACTTTTTCAAACAAGAATGTTTCAATGATGATACAGAGGAAACCAATGCATTTTGTACATGATGATATTACATGTTTGAAGTTAAAACTTTTGATCCAACACCAAAAAATTTTCTCACCTAGAACTTTTTTGTGTTTGATCAAAAGTTTTAACTCCAAACATGTCACTACCAACACAGATGAACTTTCATGATGTGATATTACATGAGCTTGAGTCACACACGTTTGTCATAACCCAATGTGGGGATATTAATGCATATTTTTTACTTCATAGGAAACATATAAGACAGACAGAAAGATCTGTGAGGACTCAAGAACATGAAGCAGTTGACCAGAGTAAGGTACTGTATGAGGATGCATCCCTCGAGGGATCAATCTGACAAAAGTCAGCTTCATGGCTGATACCATTACAAAGAAGTTGATGCTGCTAGAATAATGTTTGCTTGATAGAGAGGCACGGGTAGACAGAGTAAGTGCATTAATTTGAACTGGAAACAAGTACCTGTACCATTGTTATTCTACCCATTATGTTTTCCCCTACAAAATGTAGGAACTACCCGTGACTCAGGCAGATGAGACACCTCCAGGTCCAAGCAGTGCCCCAGCCCCCAGTACCAGCAGGAAGGCCTACAGGCTGGGGAGGAGACACAGGTCGGTGGACACCCCCATCAGTGGACGTCCCAGGAAGAGTAAGTCATCTTGTTTCTGGAGAAGGTTTCAGGTTGTGTTAGAGAAAATTTGAAGATGATGTTGTATTAATCCATCTGGATTTCTGCCCTCCCAGTCCATCTGCACTCCCGCCCAGACCGCCATGCCATTGAGTCTTTCCAGCTGGCCGAACAGCAGCGGCTGCAGCAGCTAGCCTGTCCCACATCCACCAGGAGCACTGCCTGTGACCCGGAGCAGGACACACAGCCTGCACACGCACAGGAGATGTCTGTGGTAGGGTCTTTCCTCAGGTAAGTGGGTTAAACACCAATTATAAAGACTACAAGCATTCTAACAATCAATGATGTCACAAAGTAAGATAAAATATTTTCATCCATATGAGTTGGAGTTTCTTTGTTAGGGTGCTTATGTAAAAGAGGCATGCACTTAGATCTATTATTTTTGAAGTCCCTTTGACAAACTCCTGCCTGTTAAATTTCTATGGTTACCTGTTCTTAACATAAACATTTAATTGTTGTGTATTGTTTTTTGTTCTTGCACAGAATGCTCATCAACCCTGCTAGACAACTGTTCAGAGGACATGATACCAGCTAAGGAGAGGAATCCTGTGACAGAAGAAACCCCTGTTTCTACCAGTGTTATTGCTTAGACTAAAGAAATACATATCTATATTCTACTATAGATGTTCTGACTGGCAAAGTGCAGGTCTCCTTACTGTCCAAGAATATTTTTTTTCAAAGCCAGTACAGAAGTAAATATTGAGCTGAGTTACATGTTTTGGAAGCATCTTTTAATTTCTGTCAATGGAGCTAATTGTTTTGCATTATATACTAGTATATAGAATCTTGATGTCTATTTCAGACTCGGAACAAAGGAAGAGTAGCTGGAGTTATTGTAGTTGCATATATTCTGTGGAAGTGTTCCTGATAAAAGGATTCTACTACATAGTAGTTCGGTTATGAAACAAGTTCAGAAATCTGTGTTTCAGAAATTAAGTAAAGAGTTCTTTCCAATTTAGCGCCTCTCCTTGTCATCATTTGTGTCCTCTTGTGTTCTCTGAATTTTAAGTCCTTCCTTGCAGGTCACACAGAAGATAGCAGCTTGGAATTCAACATGGACATGCCATCTTCCTACATGGTGCATTGATGGCAGTACTTCACATTAGCTGTTGGATTCAAAATTTGAATTGTCATGATGATCTGTAATAAGGGGGGAGGGGGCTCCACACAATCCAAAATCAGATCCAGTAGGTCTTCTCAGTTCATAGTACCCTATTTAAGCTACGTGCAGTTTTCACATATTCCTTTCCAGACATAGATTGTACTTTTCTAGTGTTGATTTAGGTTCACCTACAGAACTGTTGCATTTTTAAAAAATTCAACTGGTCACAAGATGAAGCTATGCTCTACTGTATGGATGGAAAGGCTGTTGGAATGGCAGTTCAGCACCAAGGACAGATATCTAGTGAGCTTTCCCCTGATAGAGTTAGACCGCAAGTCTGTTCTGTTGATATGCTATGATTGATCATCATTAGTAGTGTGTGTTTAGTATGCTGTTTCTAACATGTCACCATGTCAGAGTCACTGAATTGCATGATATTTTCTGATCAATGGTAGGGTGTTTACATTTCTATTAATTTTTTCTCTTGCAAAAATATTCAAAAGTAGCGAAAAATGTATTCGTGACAACGTAAATATAGTGAAATTCGTTTTTGTGAGATAATCTTTGAAATTTGTTGACTCAATCGTACTTTCTCAATCGTGAAAAAAATTTCCCGCCATATCTTGCACCCTGACCTTTGCTCCCAACGAAACAAAATGGCGTCTCTACATTGTTTGCTGTCCTGTCTTTTGGAAAATCCAGCCCTCTTGTTGACTGGAATCATCGTCGTGATCATTTCTGTTTTGCTAGAACGGTTTGGAATCATCTATCAACTTTTCCACAAGGTAGGGGTATAGTTTCAACTGTACATACAGGCTCTATCGCGACGTTTCACCTCGTTAACGCTGCCAGTCCGCGGACATCGCTCCCGTCCGTCCATGGTCCGTCGGTCGACGACCTTTGAAATTTGTATCATAATTATGTCACGAGCTCCTTCGCAGCCTCCTGTAGCCTACCTTTTGATATGCATGGTTTATGGTTTCAATAAACAGATCTAGCTGTAATAATTTATTTAGATTTCTATGCAGGGCTGTTGCAGAGAAGGCATAGACTCGCGAAAAAATTATGGATGTGAACTCTGTAACATGAAACACTATTGTATTATATGTAGTATTTACCTTTTCGAAATTTTCAAATTTTACAGGTGGAAAAAAATGCAGGCCGTCATGGTGGAGAACTTGTGGCCAGTGTACTCCAGAAACATGGCGTGCAGTACCTGTTTACATTAACAGGGGGCCACATTTCCCCAATCCTTGTGGCCTGTGAGAAGGTTGGCATCAGGGTGGTGGACACCAGGCATGAGGTCACAGCTGTATTTGCTGCTGATGCTGTGGCCAGGTTGTCAGGTAAGGTTCACTGTGTATGCGTGTGTTTGTGAGCAGTTTTGGGACTTCCCTTATAAGATTGTCACGTAGATGTACTTAAGATTACCAATAAATCTGCGCGTTCATGAATACTGAATACAATTTTCTAGGTTGCTCATGTCTGTCACCTCTTACAAACAATGTCATTTTGATACTGTTTGATAATACATGTAGTTTAATTTTACGTTCATTATTATGTAGTGCTGCATACCGGTTCACTGGACTTGGATCCGGACTTGTAAGAATGTTTAGGTTCAAGTCCAAAAAAACCTAAAAGTCAAGAACCGAGTCCGGACTTATTACCATAAAAGACCATTTCACATACCCCTTTTCTTTCCAAACCACCTAATACCTTCCATAGATTGCAAAATCTTTGCTGCAAAATGAAAAAAACATTGCCATCGGTCATCGTCATGTACCGGCCTCCATGTTATGTGACCAAAGTTTCACCCAGACAACATTGCAAGGTTGCCAACATACAATTTTGTATATGCCATGGGTTTAGGTCCGGACATACAAGTCTGGAACTGAATCTAAACCTCTGGACTTGAATCCGGACCTGAACCTAAAATTGGGTTTAGGTATGCAGCACTATTATTATGCGCAGAGCTGTTTATTCTCTTGTCAGCATGCTTTTGTTTTGTTTTTTGCTTTCTGCAGGTACTGTGGGAGTAGCAGCAGTTACAGCTGGCCCAGGCCTGACCAACACAATCACAGCTGTGAAGAATGCCCAGATGGCAGAGTCTCCACTCCTGCTGATAGGGGGAGCTGCTGCAACCTTGTTGAAGGTCAACCTCGAGTCTTTACAGTGATGATATATCAATTTGGCTGTACTGCATGTATAATCACTGGTAGTTTAACGTACAATCATCATTATCATCAGTTTACTCTTCACAGAGATATACCATATACATGTACATACAAATTGAACACAAAAATGTTTTTAAAAATCCATTAGCTTTTTGTCTAATTTTACGACATTCCATAAAATAGTAGTGTATATTTTATTATCTTTATAATAGCCAGAATAAATCTAGTGTTACATCTTTGCTGTGCAGGGTCGTGGAGCTTTACAGGACATAGACCAAATGTGCCTCTTCAAGCCTCTGTGCAAGTTTGTTGCTTCAGTCTCCAAAGTGAGGGAAATTGTGCCCACAGTAAGGAAGGCTCTTGCCATTGCCCAGTCTGGAACTCCAGGTTAGACTTGAATTACTTGTTTATGGATTAATGATTATTGTTATCTCTGTGTAGTTCACTCATTGTTGTGAAGTCAACTTCCAATATTGCACATTTCAGTCAAATCTTATTTTTGTAGTATGCCATGAAATAACACAACATAAAAACTTCAATGTTAAGATATAGCTCTCCCTACCAAATGATTTTGTTTATGAATGAGCCACAGTACCATTTAAGTAAAGCAGGTGATTTTACACGCCAGGCATATAATCAGTTGTTTTCATTTTCTAGGCCCGGTGTTTGTGGAGTTTCCTATTGACACCCTCTACCCATACTCCCTGGTCGAGAAGGAGATTGGCATGAAGAGCACTTCAAAATCTTTGGGGCAGAAGATTGTCAACTGGTATGTCCAATGATTTTTGGTCCTACTCTCCATATCTACAGTGTGGACACAAAAATCAGGTCTAAACTGGCTAACACATTTGTAACCTTCTTTACAGGTATTTACAAAACCACTTGAACAACTTGTTTGCTGGTGCTTGGGAAGGGAGGGACTTAACTCCATTGCCAGTCAATATTCCACAAGCATCCTCTTCACAGGTATTGCCTCCAAACAGATTGTTGTATCTTTAAGTTGAACATGTTTGCATGCAAATTAGACAATTTTGTGGATCTGTCCACACTTAACTTAAGATATGTACTTTCAGATCCAAAGCTGTGTGGAGCTGATTAGCAAGGCCAAGAAGCCCCTAATCCTGCTGGGCAGCCAAGCTACCCTTCCACCCACCCCTGTGGAAGATATCAGGAAGGCCTTGGAAACCATGGGTATCCCATGCTTCCTTGGGGGTATGGCAAGGGGCATGCTGGGAAGGAACAACCCTCTTCATATCAGACAGAAAAGGAGGGATGCCTTGAAGGAGGCTGATGTAGTTATCCTGGCAGGTAAGAGAGAGAGAGTAATGAATCAATGAGCAAAGACAGTACATTCAAGGACAGATTTATCACACGTATTGGAAAAGTTTTGTTTGTTTGTTTGTTTGTTTCGCATAACCGGTAAACCGCCTTCAGGCGTAACACACCAGTTTGTACATGTGCGCACATGTACGAGCTGCGTAAGACCGGACTGTAAGTTTTGAACCACTCACACCGGGAAGATCCCCTACTCTTTTCGATAAGTGCGGTGGGTTCTTTAACGTGCATGGGGTGTGGCTCTCCCAAACACGGGACCTCCATTTAACGTCCTATCCGAGGGACGTCCCTAACCGAAGCTAGGTACTCATTTTCACCTGAGTGAAGTGAGGAAAGTCGTGTAAAGTGCCTTTCCCAAGGGCACAAGATCGGTGACATGGGCAGGGTTCGAACCCACAACCTCTGGGGTGTGAGCCGAACGCGCTACCGACTGCGCCACACGACGCCACACACGAAGTTATCAGGAAATATTCAAAGTTGATTTTTTTAACAGGCACAGTTTGTGACTTTCGCCTTTCCTACGGCCGGGTGCTGAAGGGCAGCTCCAAGATCATTGCAGTGAACCGTGACAAGAGCCAGCTGTACAAGAACTCAGACATGTTCTGGAAGCCAACCATTGCCATTCAGGGGGATCCTGGCAGCCTGCTGCTGGCTTTAAGCCAAGGGCTGAAGGGCTTCAGCTGTGATAAGAGCTGGCCACAGATGCTGAAGGAACGAGATGTGGAGAAGGAGAAGGACAATAGGTAGATGGTGTTGTCAATATGGTTTTGGGGACTCAAACATCCTGAAATGCTTAAAAAGGTGCACATGTACTTTAAAGGCAAACCTGTCAATTAGATTTATAATTTAGTAGTGAGGTAACAAATGTTTATATAGCCACTGTTAAAAAGAAATTGGACCATTTCTTTTTAGGTGCTCATTTAATATGGAACGTTTTTTTGCTTTCAGCAAAATGGCTGGGCAGATCACAGATCTCCACCTGAACCCACTGAAGGTGCTGCACTGTTTGGAGGAGCAGATTGATGACAACAGCATCTTGGTTGCAGACGGTGGCGACTTTGTGGGGAGTGCTGCATACATTGTTCGCCCTCGTGGTCCACTGAGATGGCTGGACCCTGGGGCTTTTGGCACCCTTGGTGTCGGAGGAGGGTTTGCTCTGGGTGCAAAACTGTGCCGGCCTGAATCAGAGGTAAGAGTTTAAAACTGTACTGCTAGGCATTACCTTTTTGTTAGTGTTGTTGTTAGAAAAAAAAATAGCTGAGATTAATTATCATTGGCAACTGGAGACTTTTCGTCTTCAATTTCATACCCCACTGAAGTACTACATTCTCCCTTCTCAGGTGTGGATTATCTATGGAGATGGCTCCCTTGGTTACAGTGTGGCAGAGTTTGACACATTCAGCCGCCATGACTTGCCTGTCATTGCTGTTGTGGGTAATGATGCCTGTTGGACACAGATAGCGCGGGAACAGGTGCCCATATTTGGAAGCAACGTAGCGTGTGGCCTGGAGTTCTGTGACTACCAGCAGGTGGCAGAGGGGTACGGAGGCAGGGGCTTCCGGATGGACCGGACCAATGAGGATAAGATGGAGGAAATCTTCAAGCAGGCCAAACAACTTGCTAGAGATGGACATCCTGTGCTGCTGAACGTGCTGATTGGGAAAACCAAATTCAGAGAAGGATCCATATCTGTGTAAGCTTTGGCCTGCCAGTAGCACGTCTTTGTTTTCCATGATTGTTCTTTTACAGTAAATCAATTACTAAAACCTAAAATTGACAATCTTTTACATGGTACATGGAAAAAATACTGCTCGAGCAGGATGCTTGACTCCCAAAAAATTCAGTATCTGATGCCTAGGGCATAGGAAATAGGACATTTAGTTGTGATTTCCGTCATTTTTTAAAAACAATTTATGGAAGCAGCATGATTGAAGTAGTCCATTGTTATCTTTATGTCTTTGGTTTATGCCTTCTACATGGATTATTATAGCGCTTCCAATTATGGAGAGGTTGTGTGATTTTCTCTCTAGTAAGAAAAGTTAGAATGAAAAGCTACATATCACCTCATCATCAACTGAGGCAAGGTTTAAATGTTAGAGTATTGTTTGCTTTCAAAGATTTATGTTGTCAAATAAAGGGACCAATTAAAATATAAGTTTTAATGATCCTGTGTAGCCACACTGAATAGTGGGTAAGTGTTGTAATTAGACCATCAATTGATATTTAACTACGATATTGATAGTACTGTAACTGTTTATCTGACAGATCAGTGATGTAGAGGCAAGCCTCTTCAATTATGATGTTAGCAAGGCATTGTCTTCAACAATCTGGCTTATTGTATGACTTTCAAAAATTAGATAATAAACATTTCCTGTGCTGGTGAATAACATTGCCTTTGTTTTCTTGGATTTCAACATTGTCATGAGAGCATGGTGTAACATAGAAAACAATAAGTACATTTTAGTGGAGTTCTATGAGTATGACTGGTATCCCACTTTGAAAAGAGTGTCATAGTCGGAGTGTCCTATTATCCATGAGCTGCTGCATCATCGCCTGGACAATTGTCTGCAAGATCCTTTTCATCTGGAAAAGAAGACAAAAACATCAGTGACACTAGTTCTAAAGAAAAGGACATGTTGACTGTTGATAGAAAACTTCCAACCAGTAACTGCAGATATCTACCACAGATTTTGGTGATGTACAATGTATGAGAATATCTCACCATTGTATGCTGTTCCACACCAAAGACAGTATAGATGCTCTCTCCTCAGGTAACTTGTTAGCTCTTGAAGCATTTCTTCAGGCTGGAAAATACAATTAGATTATAGGTTAATTGGGGAAGACAACCATACTGTAAAACCAATGTGGATTTTTAAAACTTAAATACTTTTATTTTACACCTTCCTGTGCAACTTATAGATTGAAAATGGAAATGTAGTTAATTAGTTTAAAAGCAAATGATATACCATTCTACTTTTGACACCAATAGAAAAACAAGACAGCAGTTTGGAGGTGTCAATAATTACGATACCTGAAGTTCGTCTTCTTCCTCCTCTGTCTCTTCTTTCTCTTCATCACCTTCTTCACCTTCTTCCTCCTCATCTTTTGCTTGAGCAATTTTTGGCCAATACCATGGAGCAACTGGTTCGGTGATACTCTATCAACACATCAACAAGAACTATATAAGCTGGTTTTCACATCATTCAATGAGTACCTTCAGCAAAATGAAGTACGTATACTAAGGTCCACAGTAGGTGATTTAAACAGAAGCCAGAGAATAGTTCATCAAGTTACAAAAGTAATGTGTTTCTCACCTTTGCACTATCCAACTGTTCACACACCTTCTGGCTCTTGTATAAATCACGTTGCACTTCTCTCTCTGTAAATCTACTTTTCATCCTTAGAGTGAAATCTCCTCGTTCCAGCTCCTCCATTCTTTGACGTTTTCTTTGCATCTCCTGGCGCATTTTGTTCATCTCATCTGCCTTTCTCTTCTGTTCATTGGCTAGACCCATGCCAGTTCTGTCTGAAAGAATTGGCTCAAAATCAGGCTCTCCACATTGGATTGTATGAAAGCAAAATTGGGACACTAGTTTGTCATTGAACATATGTAACATAACAGCATAACATAGCATAACACAATCCCATTGTACAAAATGTGTACTGGGCAAAGTATTTTACCACCAGTATACCTTTCCTTCAACTTCAGTGAATTTAGCACTGATCTCTTACCTGCCTTCACCTCCAGAGGCACAGGTTCTGCTCTGCCTTTTCCTGCATGGAACAGATACGTATACAGTTAACCTTGACTCTAAATAATAACATGGAAACATGGGTATTAATTGGCGAGAGAAGGTAGCCGGCCATCGATGATCGAATTACCCTTTTTAGGCCGATTTCTATGATTTATTCAGCCTGTAAAAGAAGTCTGGTGGAGACTAATTAAATACTAGTAGAAGCTAAATGTTATATTTGGTAATTTACAGAGAGGCAGCATGTAAAGTAATTCGTCTTGTTCATCTGATGAATATTCTTATTATTCCCAAAACTTGTACATTCTATATTGTATTGGGTTTAGTAACATGAAGGTGTACATACCTAATCTGCCCAAGCCTTGCCCCTGCTTGAAACCCATCTTCTGGAGCATTTTGAACCCTATGTTGTCACTGCTGATTGGTTGACTCAGTGCCTCATCACGTTTCTCAGCCTGCTGTTGTTTTAAGGGCTTTACTCTGCTTCTTTCATTTGCCTCTTTCTGCTTTTTCTCAAGTTCTCGTTGTCTGGCCACTCTCTTAAGAACAGGTAACCCTGGACGCACATCAGAACTGTAGAAATAGCAACAGTTTTGCTAGAATTAGCATTCACTTCACGATTCAGTTAATATTTTTGTAGAACAAAGTACCAATTTGCCTGAAAGTGGAACAGTCTGCCCCTCCCCTTCCTCATACTTATTCGACATTGTCGCCTTTCCCCCCGCATTCACCCCAAAGAGCGTGACACAGGGACATGACAGGGTATGTAGGTAAAGTGTTCAGTTATAGTATACTGGTTAGAAATTCGACCAGAGACGCACGTTTGCTGCAAAATCGCGTCGGACATATAATCCAAATCGTCCCCGTCCGCCATGTTGGATGTTTTGATTGTGCCTGCACTAAACAAGTAGCTGATTGGTCAGTCTAAAAGAAATGTACCAATGAACATCCCCGATACAATTGAATTCTTGCGCACGCGCAAAGCGTGGGGTCATAAAGGTCAGGTTGATGAGATTTCCGGACTTTCGTCGACGTTGCTGAATCCGATGTGAGCTTTCTGATACTTTTTTGCCGGCGTTTGCCACGGTCCGCTCAGCCCGTGATACCAGGGAACATCTACGTGAGCTGGGTCGGCTCTGGTAAGTTCCGTATTAATGAGTTCAGGCTTTCTCTCGTGTAGAAATTTATGAATTACTATTTAAACGATTTGATTGTCGGATCGTTCTTTCCGGGGCTCATTGGTTGTCACAGGGGGAGGGGTACTATATAGCTTATACATTACAGGATTTGGTTTACTGTGATTTCGTTGGGATTTTCACTAAGCAAGGTTTGCTTATGTTGTCCACATCGAGGTGTTTAGTTTGTCTGAAATTTGATTTAGTATTTATAAGAAAGCAGTTCATGATCTGTTCTAGCCTATATCCTGTCTACAAATATTGAACCTATTTCAGAAGAGTGACCTTTGCCCTGCTGATATCCTCACGAATTACTGTTCAGTGTGGCATGCCGCAGTGTACCCATACAACTTAGGGCCAAGACAGTATGTAGACGGTATTGGCTGGTATGTACGTCAGCCCCCACATGACTTCAGCACTGGGACCCAGAAGATCAATACTAATGCAACATTAATGATCAGTCAGACGCATGAAAATCCACCAAACTTCAGCTGCGATGGTGGGTGGTGGGTATGTATGTTCTCTCATCACTGTAGAAAGTTCAAACGTTTTCCGTACAACAGTCCCTACTAGTATGTGCACAGTTGTAAACAGTAAAGAGAGAAAGAAAAAACTCAGTAGTAGCCAGTCTTTGATTATACTGCTGCAGGGTCCAAGACATGGGTGAGGGTGGGCAGCAGTTCTGTATTCAGACTAGTGTGAGAATCTACTATAGGTATGTGTGTAATGGTGTTACTGTCCTCATCAACATTACCTCTAGAGGTAACAAGTACTTCCTGATTATCAGATGTTATATATTATGTTTATTATAATGTGGAATAGGTGATCAAAATAATACCAAAATTTCATTTTGAAGACTGCATGTACAAGGTATTTATTGGGAGTGAAAGATTAGTTAATATTTTTTTTACTATAACAGTTTATAGCAGATTTCTGAGGTGCATTAATTCTGCCAACAATATTGTGGGCTGGACACAGCTCACTGAATGATAGCATCCCAGGCAAAAGAAGAATGGGTCTGTGGTGACCTCTAGCTCATGATGTATGAGTTTTGCCTGCTGAAGGATTATGTATATAATTACAGTGACATCAGTCTGACGTAGAGTGAATCAGTATTCCCCTGGGAGCTGTATGTCATTTTTAAGCAAATGCAGTAGCTTGATGACTGTAAAACCGAGGAAGACTACAATTTTGTATGCTAGTGTGCTTGAAGCTGCATCAGCTGAGTGAGATAGTTGAGATGGTTTCTCAGATGTTTATACGTTGATCCCTTCCATATGTTCCAGGACTCCTGACTGTTACTCTGCAGTAGTGGTACTAATAGAACGGGCACATGTCTAGGAAGATCTAATATAAAATAGATAAATATGTGTTCCTTTTAATTTTTGTTGCTTTTATAGTTTCTTTAGTAACTTTATAAGTAATGACATGTTATACCAGCCTATTAAAAATCACCAGTAACAACAGTGATAGTCCTCATTGATAACTTGTCCAAATTTTCTAGTGTAAGGGGTGGCTAGGTTGCAATTATTTGTAACACCAGTAATTTAGATGCAAAATAGGTTGCTGTTAATCCTTTGTTATGAAGGATAACTAAGAACACATGGTTGATGTGTCTGTCTTGCCTGGTGGTGGGTCCCAAGATAAAGACATGTACAAATGTAGTCAGGAATTTTCTCTACATGTACAGCAGGCATGGGAAGGTGTGCCACATGTGGTCTGGGCCCTGGCAGCTTTGACTCTGCAGAATGTATGTTTGTAACAGTTTTTTGCCCCAAACTAAAGTCCAAACAGTATCACTATACTAAATTGCAGTTGTATATGTTTTTTTTATGTAATGAAAATTGTTTGCTGTACAACAGGACTCAGTAGTAAGTTAGTGTACAAGTATAAAGCTGCCACATTACATAGGCGTAGGGTATAAATGGTTCATGAAAATGATCAATGATGTTTTTGATACTCTACTTCAATCATGGAACAAAATTTCAAAAATGTATATCCATTCCTCTAATCATCTTACATTACTAGTGTCACTCCTACTTCAGCTAAGACTGCTGGAGTGTAAATTGTATTCTCAAAGGAAATTCCTATGTGAAGGCTTTAGTGAAGTTGGTTCACATCGCTGCTATAAACCACCTGTTCTGGATGGCTGGGTGTGTATATGATCCAGGGTAACAGATGGTAGAATGCTTCACTCAACTATTCAAAGATAGGTATCCCTACCCCTTAGCCCAGCATGGGTTACATATCACTTGCAATTGGAACCCTGGAGTGGCTGTCACATCTCTTTAGAGTGGCTTTTAGACATGATAAACAGCTGTTTCTTTGTATGCTTCCCAATCCTTTTCCATTATCTGGGGCCATATGTGCTACTGCATTAAGATATCAACACTTAAAGTAGTATTTAGAGCACTGCTAGGTCCCCTCAGCCAATAGGGATCCTGGATTTTTAGTGATTATATCCACATAGTAGCATACTTGTGAGTTAGTGCACCTCTCTCCCTTGGGGTAGAGGTGCACTAACTAACCAGCCACCCTCTTCTCAGCCAACCAGTGAGCTGGAATTGGTCCCTCTCTAGGGACAGAGGTGCTCTAACTAACCGAATAAATTACACTATGTTGGACCCGCACATTGTTATTTCCATGGAAACAACAACTGGCCAATGGCAGTGTCCAGCTTTCTGCCCTGGGGAATCAGAGGAGACTGACCGGCTCATCACCACACATGGTTTGACTCTTCTTGGAGTTGTTTGGCTGTCCATCTGGGCTGATTAACGACCTGGCGGTCGTTAATCAGCCCAGATGGACAACCAAACAACTCCTAGAAACAAGACAAAAAGTGATACTAAACAAAGATTTATAAAGCAAAATCAAGTTCTAGTGGATGGAGTTGATCAACTTCGGGGACCTAGAAGTGCTCTAAGTTAGATAGAGCACGGTTTGAGGCTGAATACTCGGATTTAGAACTGCCCGCCCAACCTCGGGGATTTCATGTCACCCTCGGCCTCCGGCCTCGGGAGACATGAAATCCCCTTGGTGGGCGGGGCAGTTC